CGCCTCTAAGGATCAATCTACGCCATGTATCAAGGTCAGTTCAAATCGAGAGTCCAGATGGATCGATGCCATGGATTAATGCGCCCATAGGATGCCTGGTGCCCCCTATAAAAGGAGCCCCCTACCCTCTCCAGAAGGCATTGGATGCAATTGGATTCAGTTGATCCCAATCAAACAGAGAAGAATATAATAGATCTCCAATACCTCAAAGCTTTATTATAGTCTAGCTAGTAAGATCCAAGTAGAGTTGGGCTACTACCCAGGATTCTAGATCCATCATCTGGAGGCTTGGTATAGCCATTGTATCCTTTATATTTCATATCTTGTCCATTACTTTATTCTTAATCTATATTATGTTTCTATCTATCTTGTTCTTAGTTTACTTTGGTAGCATGCTTGATATAGTCATAGATAACAATGAGTTTATGCATAGGATCGCAAAGCGCTTAGCTCGAAGACTCGAGTGAGTTAAGTGGTGCGACATTATGTAAGCATGGTGCTTATCGTTGTTTACTGCGGATGCACCCTATATTCGGATCTTGTGGTAGATCGCGAGGGTGACAACCTCATTGACTCCTTTGTAGTCCACCTCTCGTTTGTAGGCCAAGTAGGACCCGGTTGCGACGGAAGTAGTCAAGCTCTATTCTTGCTCTTATTTACTAATGTCTCTTATGCGAGAGATGATGAAGAGTTAATTGTGCTATAGAAGAGTATATATGCCTTTGTATACATAGACTTGATAGATAGGAATGACTTACAAATCTTTCTCTCTTGTGTTATTACTTAGTCTAGCTACGCTACATTTATGAGTATCTATTTTTATCTCTGGATTATTATCATTGCCATACACTTATCATTTATATATCTTTTGGCTTACCCCTGTTTATAGTATGTGTTTAGTTAATGATTCCATCATAAGTATACATATTTATCAATATCTTCTTAGCCATCGCTCCTCCCTGTGGTAAAATATAAATAACGATGCATGGAATACTCCCGGTGAAATGCTACAATGGTATATATGTGCACTTGCAGAATTTCATATCTTTCTAAGTCACATTAAAATACCATAAACATTTCTGGTGTCATTGCCGGAGATTTCATCTCTAGTAATGATGCTAAGAACTGCCAACAGTGAGAAACTGGCCTCTATCACAATTCAATCCCGAAGCACTCACAAACCCCAAAACCTCCACACTAAGTCCACACTAGTCAACTAGTGACTAGATGCACTCCAAGATACTCAAAGAACATAGCAGAGAAGATGAGGAAGCAAAACAACAAAAGACGCAACTAGGTGGAAGAAAACTTGATGAAACGGTGGAGCACCATCTGCAAAAAAATCGTCCTGGCCAGTTTGGCACCTCCTCACCTAGGCAAATCGGCTTGGCCACCTGGGGAAATGGCCTAGCCGGTTTTGAGCCGGCCTGGTTTGGAATCGGCCTGGCCAGTTCTTCATTCCTCTACAACCCGAACAAACCTCTCCAAAAGTCAAATTCGATCCAAAACAAGTCCAACTTGCACCAAAATTGCAGAGACATGTTTCTAAGGGCATTGTGAACCTTTTCCAAAAATATCAAACCTCAGCACCCTTAGAATCAAAGCAGATCTGAAAAACCATCTTGCAACTTAGGGTTATCTCAATTTTCCATTAAAACTCAGGTCTTTGTGCTCCCGAGGAATCTGCCAAAACCAGTGGCTAGAGGAGTTACTAAGGGGTCATAGCATATGTGGATCAAGTCAAAACAAGCACAAGAACTAAGATTGAGGAAATCACAAGAAAGCTCACAAAACCATCCAATCGGAGACAAAAGAGAGGAGGGAGAGGATTCGATTCAAAAGACCAGAGGTCAACTTGATTGATTTGCAGAATACAAATTTACAAAGACATGGTCCAGTGTCCACCATTCATCCTCCGTCTTACTTATCAAAAATCAGACACTCAAGGTTGTCACCCCTCTCTATAGCTGATTTCCCTAAGCAGCGTAACCTTTGGATAGCCTAGGCAAATGATTACGTGTGAAGAGATGGCTGTCTTGAGTAGCCTCTATCCTTATTTATATGGCTATTACACATTCCAAATTTATCTCTAAATAAATATATCCCTGAACTACTTAACCACAGGGGCCAAATGGTCCAAGATGAGTTCCTTGCATCAGACAACCATAACCCCTTCACGAGAAAGCTTTGCCTTGATGCAAGCTCTCCGATGATGCCACGTGCCACCCCAAGATCCTCCCCTAGGTTTTGAAGCCCAAACCCGGCAAACCTGCCGCCCGCGGTTTTGAGGCTGACACCGCCAAATCCAGCTGGAGTCGCGTATCCTCTACGCCTTCTCCATGATCTCGACGTGTGTCACACGCTTGTCCTCGACCGCCGGATCACCAAGTCCTCACGCACCCGCTCTGACTTGGTCAACCACCGTCTTGATTTCGGTCAACACCGTCTATGCCGTCACCACATGTACACTTCTTGCTTATCGGCGTTGCCAAATGCTTGCCATCCACGGTCTATCCTCCAGCCCTTGGTCCCTCAGTGCAAACCTTCACGTCCATCCTCCACTGCTCCGAGTCCACCGGCACGAACTCACTTGAGCTTCTCCATTCCCGTCGACTGTCTCAATGCTCAAAACCTGCACATCACAAGAAAAGAGATAGGTTGCACACACCACTACACACACCATGGATAGTCTTGGAATGTGTAATTGGCCTATAAATAAGGATAGTGGCTGCCAAAGACAGCTCTCTCCCACCTAAGTTTATTTCCTTAGGGTAGCCAAGTAGATCTCACTTAGAGAAGATTAGAAGTTCAGAGGGTGAGCAACTGTTGCTCTAGTTTTCCACTACATAGAGGGAGGAGGCTAGACCTGATATTGTGAAGATGTTTTCATGATCAATCAATCAAGTTGTCATTTGAAATTTCAAGTCAACTTTTCCATCTCATCTGTTCTCCTATTTTGGTTGATTTTTGTGGTCCTTTTTGGGAATTATTTGATTTGAGGTTTAGGGATTGCTTTGAGTTGATCTTCTGGTACTATGACCCCTGGGAACTCATCTAGCCGCTGGTTCAACTAGTTTTCCCACGAGCATCAAGAAATCGAATTTCTTTGAAATTGGAGAAAACCCCATTTTGGAGAGCCTCCTTTTAGATCTGGTACCCAAGATTTGATCTTTTGGAGTTGAAACTTTGTGGATATATTCACTTCCTCGTAGAGAAGGTGGCTGCAAAATTTCTACTTAATTGGACTTTCTTTGATCGAGTTTTGCATTTTTCTTCCTTGGGTCGGCTGTAGAGAAAGCCGAAGAACTAATAGGCCTGGTTGTGTTTTGGTGCAGAACCGGCCTGGCCGTGTTGCAAACTAGCCAAGCCGGATTTCACAGAGTGTGCAGGTTTTTGTTTGTTTGTCTGTCATTTTACTTCTCGTTTTTCCACCATCTTTGAACTTCTCTAGGTCATCTTGTCACATGTTGGCCTATGTGATTAGGGTTGGGCTTGAAAAGCGCTCGGGATCAATTTTGAGATATAGCCTAAGTTCTGACTGAGAATTTTGAATTGGCTTTCATTCACCTTCTCTGTTTGTCTGCTCGGTCCTTCAATATCTTTATTATCTTTGAGCAGACAGGCACAAGTTAAAGGCCCTCCTCAATACACGTACCCACGTGGTTGGTCTCACTCACGAATCACGACAAGATGTACAGCTACCACCAACCATATACTGTAGGTAGGAGCATATATATGTTACGAAATCGATCATCAAAAGCTAGTGAACGTGCATCATGAAAGTTGTTGTCAAAATTTTTAGTGGGTGGTAAAAAGAAAAGGACAGGGCTATTGCACGGCTGCCCGTGCGTTAGGCCGATCACATGGGCGGCCGCTATGCACGCGCGCGCTCTCTCTCTCATCTTCCTCATGCAGTACTACTGTTCATCTTCTTCCTCTCCGCGGTCCCACCACCCCACTGCCGCGGTCCCATCGCCCCATCGCCGATGAGCTAGGGTTTTGCCGGAGCTCGCGGCCGCGGCCCATCCCACCCCCCGCCGCGGCCGCGAGCTCCGGCGAAACCCTAGCTCACCAGCGGCGCCGCCTTCGTCCCCTCCTCCCACCGCTGCTACCGCCGCCATGGCCATGGCGTCCCACCCCGACCTGGCCCGGCCGCCTCCACTGCCGCCAGGGCCCCTAAACCGCCCACCGGCATCCCCACCGCCTAGCCGGCCTTCCTCCCCAAACCCCTTTCCATCTAAGACCACCGGAGTTTGTAAATAAGGAGAGAGAGCTGCTGGTACCCTAACATGGAGGACGAGGAGGAGGAGAAGGCCTACCTCGCCGGATTTGCCATGGCCGCCGCCGGATCTGCCCTAACAGCCAGGAACCTAAGGAGCTCGCCGGAACCCTAAGCTCGTTGGAGAGAGGAAGGAGCCGCGTCGGGAGGAGGTGGGGCGCGGGCACGGGCACGGGGACGAGATCACTGCCGGTGGGGGGGGGGACCTCGCCGGGCGTTGGAGAGACGTGAGAGAGAGACGCCGGGGAGACAGAGAGAGAGTGTGCGTGTGTGTGAGAGTGAGCAGGTGAGTGGGTGAGGGTGGCCGTGCGGGCGTCTAAAAAAACGGCTGTCCGTTTTCAAGGCATTACCAAAAGAAAAATGCATGCAACAGAGAAGTAGACAATACAGTCGCAATTAACTGCACGGTCTTTAAAAACAAAACTGCACGATAGGGTCGAGAAGAACTGCATACAGTACAGGGTTGCGATCCATCTTAACGCTGGCAACAAAACATTACCACTTGATGGAGCCAACCGTTTGTATTGCATGCAAAACGGACGGAGTTGGGATATACAGTACAGAGAATAATAATCTCGATGACAGGAAAAAAGGAATGTTCAAACTCTAACGGACAAAGTTCAACCGAGGCCTTTCTTATAGAGTGCTAGCAAAGAAACTAATTAATGGCAACTAAATAAATTAAGCACAGACTGATCATCCATCTGACATCATGGGTACATCAAATGGCTTTCTTGACCGACACGAGTGTCCCTATGATACCGAAAAGTGCAACAAAGACGCCGAAAACCGCCGCGATGGTTTTCTTGTTATTGTAAAGAAACGCGTACAACTTGGTCCCCATCGGCTTGTTCTCCTTGTAAATCTCGATCTGTTCCATGACACGGTTGTAGCATTTTCCGAAAGGCAGACCCTGGAAACTGGTCAAGAAGCGGAACGCCTGCTCGTCGGTGAGCCCTCCTCCTCCCTGCAGGAGACCGCTCGCCCGTAGCTCCTGCACGTCGTCCACCCTAGTTACCAACAATGCCAGGAGCTGGAGGTAGGAGCAGACAGCGGAGTCTTCGGCTTGCGCTCTCCCAAACCTTTTTATCGGGCACAGCATCATGAAAGTTGTTGTCAAAATTTTTAGTGGGTGGTAAAAAGAAAGGGACAGGCACTACTACAGAAGTTAACTATAGGACGGCTCCAGAGCCTCTGTAGGGGCGGCTGTGCCAGCCGCTCTTTCCAGGGTGTTCCTACAGAGGGTGCCTCTGTAGGGGCGATTTCCTGACCGCCCCAGCAATGCCCTCTGTAGGGGCGGCTGGTAATATCAGCCGCCCCTATAGTGGACTTCTGTAAGGGCGGCTGTATCACCGGCCGCCCCTGCTGCGTGTATCTGTAAGGGCGGTTCAATCAAGAACCGCCCCTACAGTGGATTTTCTAGCAAAAAAAATAAATAATTCAAATTCAAATCTGACCACATATATATATATAATTCAAATTCGAATCTGACCGCCACAAATATACGTATATACATCCACAAACACAAGACCATTATTTAGAACATCATCACAAGTCATAATTCACAAAAGTCATAATTAGTAAATATAGAAAGATAATATTTATACATGTAAATCAACAATGGCCAAAGCAACACTCAAGAAAGGCATTGGAGAGGTCATTATCACTAGACAAATGAAAGATCAATTTAATGTGCAGATTCAAGTAGGACCTGGCATCTGGAATTCCATGGCAAATGACTTCGTTGACAGACCTGAGTACAAGTGACAACAATGTGAGCAATACCTTTAGTCTCCTAGAACTGATACCAATAACTATTAATTAAAACAAAGACAACCTACGTGCAACATGACCTGGGGAAGAAATGGTAATTCAATGGAGATGGGTATCCACCTGAGGATCAAGAATGAAAGTTATGATCAATAAGAGAATCAAATAGGCATGATCAAGACACAAATAGTATTTTTCTTAAAAATAGTTGTAGTGATCACAAGTTCATCATTCAATCAACTGGAGTTCAATTTGTTGCATTTAATTCTTAAAGGATGTTGATCTCACCTCTAGCAATTGTCTCTTCATGGACAACTCTATCAATTTCATCTGTTGTAATTCCTGGTTTAATTACACGAGCAGCTGGATCTAAAACCTCTCTTGCAATCTATAAATGATAATACGAGATAAAGCAGAAAAGATTAGGAAAGTGAAATTATAATGTCACAACTAAGAACTCATTTACATATGCTGGGAACTTACTCGACATATTTCTCTCATCCTTTCTATGAGTTCAGGGGTCTTAATCTACAGAGGCACAAAGAAAGCAGTAATCATCAGAAATTTGTTCATGGAACATATGTGATACTCAAAAACCTCTGAAGGATTTTACCTCTACTCTTTTCTGCAAATCACTATCTGGTTCTATCTTGGGAATTCCCTAAAAAGTATTACAATGTCAGGGAGATTTGAAAGAGCATATTGCAAGAGATATCACTTAAAGTGGAATGGTGAGACGACACTGCATGCATACTGTGAAGGAAGAGACCCTTAAAACAACAGGAACTTACATCAAGCGCCCAATCAGGCTTCTCAATTTCATCTGGCACCACACGCATCTTTGATATTGGATATGGTCTCAATGGACTGAAAGACATAATCATTCAATAAATGTGAGAAAGGTACTACCCAAATAGCTCATTCCTCCCACCCTAGATTATTAGCAAAGAATAAAGGTGCATTTATGTTCACAATTTTCAATTTGTCAATGCTCTATTTTGGTGTGAAAATGTGAATGGAAAGAAATGTTCAACACCATGTTTACTGCATCCATGAAGCCACTTTGTTGCTCAAATATACTGGAACTCTCAAATGCGCAGTTTAATGCTAAAAGACCCATACATGGACAGTGCATAACCAAGTCAAAAAACCTATTGTGGCTATCTAAAAGACATTGGTTCACTGCACATATATGTTAGATTCACTATCGATAGTTAACTTTTTCATAGCTCATTTGCTGCTCTAAACCTTTTGCATGGTTGTGGCAGGGTTATCCTTAGTGTTCCACATAGGTTGTGTCAGAAGGTACCAGCATTTATTTAAGAAGGTAGGAAATCAACCAGCTGAAAATTTACCCTGTCCAATCAAAACGAGGAAGTTCCAATGCACGTCCCCGCCCTTTTCTCACATAATATTTCCATCCTTCTGGAGACTGCTGGGATGCCAGTGCACCAGGCTTTGGGTGAACAGATTTGTGAGAGCTCCATGCTACCCTAAAACAATCCAGTGTGCTGCAAATGATTTGTGGACACAAAAGAATTTAACGCTTTCACTAGTTCAAAAAGGTGAAGGAGCACACATGAAACATAATTCTACCCTGCACTGGTGTGCCAGCATTTCCAATGGATACTTTGATATAAAAAGATGTGTTTCCTTTAAAAAATCAAAAGATCAAGGATATGAAAAAAATACCATTTCCACATAAGGCCATAACTAAATGATACATGCCTTGAAAATATGCAGAAGGTTTTATGCTCTATGTTGTTAAAGCAATCAAACTAGCTGATACTCATTCATCCAGAGAGCTTCCTACTATCATGATGTTCCAATGCAGTAAAACGAGAGAGAGGAGCTTGCCACTGACCAGAAAGCTGCGTTCTCACGAGGTAGCTTAAGTTCAGCACACTTGGGGCATCTGAAAATCAACACAACAGAGCATAAGCAATGACTTGAAGAAACCAACATGTCTACTATGTGCTACTTTCCAAAGTATAACTCTGCTTTTCCAGCCATATATCACAGCAATGAACAATCAGAGCCACCCAGGTTCTGCTTCAATGTTCTAACTACAATTTTTCCAGCCAATATATCACAGCAATGAACAATCAGAGCCACCCAGGTTCTGCTTCAATGTTCTAACTACAAGCAAATAAGAGCTAAAGACCCAATTTCTATAACTTAAAATAAATATCGTCACAACAAAGCTGCGTCAAGCATCAATTCCTATTACTAGATGGACAGGTGTAGGGCGTCGAAGCAAAACGCAGCGGGTAAAACTCGATAGCGGATCACTGGTGGAGACAGGAAGCGGCGATATGTGCCAAGCAAAGCGCAGCGGGGAAAAGTCGACAGAAGATCGCTGGCGGAGAGAGGAAGCGATATGTTATCGGGAGGAGAGAAAAACGCACTGGAGCTGAGCGGGCTTGCCGCAGCGAGCGCAGGGCGGCGATGCCTCCGGGGCTCCTTTCTCCATCCCGGCTGCCTGCACCACGCCAATTGGATCAGGCGGATCAGTAGACTGCTGGACCCGGGCAGGAAGGGCGCGGAGAACAGCAGAGAAGAGTCCCGTCCGGCTCACCTGTGGCGGCGGAGGCTAGGGTTCCGGCGGCGCGGGCGGCGGACACGAGGGGAAAAGAGGAAAATGATGTGGACGAGTCAGCCGAGGGGATTTGCTTGCTGCCTACCTGCCATGCTGAGAGTCGATCCGGGCAGGGAGGGGCAGGCGACGACGGTACATATACAATAACTAAAACAGCTACAACAATTTAAAATTATAAAATTAAACCTTTAAAAATGAGAAAAAAAATTAAATTTTAAAAAATTAAAATTAAAACTATTAAAATAATTTTGAGACACCAAATGATTTTAAATGAAAATTTGATAAACATCAAAGTTGTAGAGGTCATCAAGATCTACAACTTTTATTTTGGTTATATTGTCATTTGACTAAATTTGAACTTTTCAAATTTGAAATTTTAAAAAACGACAAGTTCGAACCAAAATTTGAGACCCAAAATGATTTCAACATAAAAAGTGACGAATACCAAAGTTGTTCAACTCATTAATATCTACAACTTTTATTTTAGTCGTCTTGTCATTTGACAAAATTTGAACCTTTCAAATTTGAAATTTTGAAAAACGACAAGTTCGAACCAAAATTTGAGACCCAAATTGATTTCAACATAAAAAGTGATGAATACCAAAGTTGTTCAACTCATGAATATCTGCAACTTTTATTTTGGTCATTTCTTAATTTGACAAATTCTTAGCACATATTGTTCACTAATCTTATACATGTCTCATATAGTTTATAAAATCTTATGAGAGATGTGTCACATTTGTGAACAATTTCATTACCACTTTGTCATATGAAAAAATGACCAATACAAAAGTTGTAGATCTTGATGAGTTATTCAACTTTGGTATTTATCACTTTTCCAGCTGAAATCATTTGGGGTACCAAAATCTGATCTGAAATTGCATTTTTTTGAAATTCAAAATTTAAATTTCTCAAACTTTTCATATGTATATATTGACAAAACCAACAAAATAAATTGATAGAGAATGATTTTAGAAAATTTTAGAAAAAAAAATCATCAGATTTGGAGTTAGTATGAGGAAGAAAAACTAGTTACAAAGTTGACCTCAGATTAAAAAAAGAAATCACACTGTTCAATATGATCATGTAAGGATCATCCAGAACAATGTGATTTCTCTTTTTAATCTGTAGGTAAACTTTGTAACTAGTTGTTCTCCCTCATACTAACTCTAAATGTGATGGTTTTTTTTCCTAAAAATTTCTAAAATCATACTTCAGCATTTAAGTTTGATCAAACTTGGATGTGACAATGGTTTACATATTTTAAAATTTCAAATTTGAAATTTGACAAGTTCAAACCAAATTTTCAAACCCTAAATGATTTCAGATGTAAAAGTGATGAATACAAAAGTTGTTCAACTTATCAAGATCTACAACTTTTATTTTGGTTATCTTATCATTTGACTAAATTTAAACCTTTCAAATTTGAAATTTAAAAAAATGACAAGTTCGAACCAAAATTTAAGACCCAAAATGATTTTTCAACATAAAAAGTGACGAATACCAAAGTTGTTCAACTCATTAATATGTACAACTTTTATTTTAGTCATCTTGTCATTTGACAAAATTTGAACCTTTCAAATTTAAAATATTGAAAAACGACGAGTTCGAACCTAAATTTGAGACCCAAATTGATTTCAACATAAAAAGTGATGAATACCAAAGTTGTTCAACTCATAAATATATGCAAATTTTATTTTGGTCATTTCTTCATTTGATAAATTCTTATCACACATTGTTCACTAATCTTACACATGTCTCATATAGTTTATAAAACCTTATGAGAGATGTGTCATATTTGTGAACAATTTCATTATCATTTTGTCACATGAAGAAATGACCAATATAAAAGTTGCAGATCTTGATGAGTTATTCAACTTTGGTATTTATCACTTTTTCAGCTGAAATCATTTGGGGTACCAAAATCTTGTCTAAAAGTTGCATTTTTTTGAAATTCAAAATTTAAATTGATCAAACTTTTCATATGTATATATTGACAAAACCAACAAAATAAATTGATAGAGAATGATTTTAGAAAATTTTAGAAAAAAAATCATCAGATTTGGAGTTAGTATGAGGAAGAAAAACTAGTTATAAAGTTGACCCACAGATTAAAAAAAAAGAAATCACACTGTTCACTATGATTATGTAAGGATCATCTAGAATAGTGTGATTTCTCTTTTTAATCTGTAGGTAAACTTTGTAACTAGTTGTTCTTCCTCAAACTAACTCCAAATGTGATGGTTTTTTTTTTCTAAAAATTTCTAAAATCATGCTTCAGCATTTAAGTTTGTTCAAACTTAGATGTGACAATGGGTTACACATTTTAAAATTTGAAATTTGAAATTTGACAAGTTCAAACCAAATTTTCAAACCCTAAATGATTTCAGATGTAAAAGTGATGAATACAAAAGTTGTTCAACTCATCAAGATCTACAACTTTTATTTTGGTTATCTTGTCATTTAACTAAATTTAAACTTTTTAAATTTGAAATTTTAAAAAATTACAAGTTCGAACTAAAATTTGAGACACAAAATGATTTCAACATAAAAGTGATGAATACCAAAGTTGTTCAATTCATTAATATCTACAACTTTTATTTTAGTCATGTTATCATTTGACAAAATTTGAACCTTTCAAATTTGAAATTTTGAAAAACGATAAATGGGCACTGCAGGGGCGGCTGGTGATTGAGCCGCCCCTACAGATCAGTCCCAACTGTAGGGGCGGCTCAAGTAACCATCCACCCCTACAATGCCATCTTTAGGGGCGGCTGGGCTGCTGGGGCCCGAGGATGCCCACTATAGGGGCGCCCTCAACCCCAGCCGCCCCTACAGTAAAAATGCCTCCGTTCCTATAGTAAGAATCTGGCGTAGTGAGGGCTATTGCACGGCTGGCCGCGCGTTAGGCCAATCACATGCGCGACCGCTATGCACGCACGCGCTCTCTCTCATCTACCTCGTGTAGTACTACTGTTCATCTTCTTCCTCTCCGCAGTCCCACATCCCCACCGCCGCGGTCCCATCGCCCCATCGCCGATGAGCTAGGGTTTTGTCGGAGCTCATGGCCGTGGCCCGTCCCACCACCCCACCGCGGCCGTGAGCTCCGGCGAAACCCTAGCTCACCGGCGGCGCCACCTTCGTCCCCTCCTCCCACCGCTGCTACCGCCGCCATGGCCATGGCGTCCCACCCCGACCTGGCCCGGCCGCCTTCACTGCCGCCAGGGCCCCTAAACCGCTCGCCGGCATCCCCACCGCCTGGCCGCCCTTCCTCCCGAAACCCCCTTTCATTCTAAGACCACCGGAGTTTGTAAATAAGGGAGAGAGAGCTCGCCAGGTACCCTAACGCGGAGGAAGAGGAGGAGGAGAAGGCCTACCTCGCCGGATTTGCCATGGCCGCCGCCGGATCTGCCCTAACCGCCATGCCGGAACCCTAAGGAGCTCGCCGGAACCCTAAGCTCGTTGGAGAGAGGAAGGAGCCGTGTCCGGAGGAGGTGGGGCGCGGGCACGGGCACGGGGAGGACCTCGCCGGGCGTCGGGGAGACGTGAGAGAGAGACGCTGGGGAGACAGAGAGAGTGTGCACGTGTGCGTGTGAGAGTGAGCGGGTGAGTGGGTGAGGGTGACCGTGTGGGCGTCTAAAAAACGGCTGTCCGTTTTCAAGGCATTACCAAAAGAAAAATGCATGCAACAGAGAAGTAGACAATACAGTCGCAATTAGCTGCACGGTCTTTAAAAACAAAACTGCACGATAGGGTCGAGAAGAACTGCATACAGTACAGGGTTGCGATCCATCTTAACGCTGGCAACAAAACATTACCACTTGATGGAGCCAACCTTTTGTATTGCATGCAAAACGGACGGAGTTGGGATATACAGTACAGAGAATAATAATCTCGATGACAGGAAAAAAGGAATGTTCAAACTCTGTAACGGACAAAGTTCAACCGAGGCTTTTCTTATAGAGTGCTAGCAAAGAAATTAATTAATGGCAACTATATAAATTAAGCACAGACTGATCATCCGTCTGACATCATGGGTACATCAAATGGCTTTCTTGACCGACACGAGTGTCCCTATGATACCGAAAAGTGCAACAACGACGCCGAAAACCGCCGCGATGGTTTTCTTGTTGTTGTAAAGAAACGCGTACAACTTGGTCCCCATCGGCGTGTTCTCCTTGTAAATCTCGATCTGTTCCATGACACGGTTGTAGCATTTTCCGAAACGCAGACCCTGGAAACTGGTCAAGAAGCGGAACGCCTGATCGTCGGTGAGCCCTCCTCCTCCCTGCAGGAGACCGCTCGCCCGTAGCTCCTGCACGTCCTCCACCCTAGTTACCAACAATGCCAGGAGCTGGAGGTAGGAGCAGACAGCAGAGTCTTCGACTTGCGCTCTCCCAAACCTTTTTATCGTGCACAGCTCGAGAGCCGCCATGTTGAGGAGGTAGCTTGCACGGTTACGGTCCCGAGACAGTGGCGCCAGGGAGAGCTCGGCGAAGAAGCTCCCTTCCTGGACGAGGCCCATGTCAATGAGCTTCGTCGTCTTGTTGGCTGTGAGCCAGATGCCGATCTCCGCGAGCTCAATGGCACTGATGGAAATTGACCGGTTCTTGGGCTTCTGCTGGTTGGGACTGTTAGTGTCCCTGCTTCTCCCTACAGTGTAGTATCGGAGGAGGCCAAGGAGATGCGGTTTGAATGTCTTGTCTTTAATCAAAGCTGACACATGAGAATCCTCTTCTTCTTTGGGTTTCCTATGGTGCTGTACATAGAATTTCCATGTGGAGAGGAAGCGCCCCAAGCTCACGTCGGGCATGAATCTCAGGACCGCCTCCACCACCTTCCAGGGAAGCTGGTTCTCGAGAAGAATGAGATCATGGTGGATGTCGCGGCGGTTAGGGCCGAAGAAACCACGCAAGCTCTCATCTATTGCAATGTCAGTGCTGAAACGCATGTACTGCACCAAGAAGCAAGCGTCAAAGAACATCATGTGTCGGAATTCGTCATAGCCGATACCTTTCATCACATCCTTGTCGTAGAGGCCGAGGCGGCGGACGTGGTCTGCAGAGGAGACAACCGCGGAGTACACCTCCTCCAATAAGTGTCCAGATTCGATGACGCATCGAATGGCAGCCATGTGCTTCACCTTCTCCGCCTGCTTGAGGTGGTCTCGGTTGTGGTGGTACGGGCCGATGGCCACAACCCTCGGCACGGTGTAAGATTCATGGAGAGCTCCAAGCAGGCTTGCAGGGTATTTGTGCATCTTTTGTTTGGTGATGTCCATATCAGCCTCAAACTCGTGCGATACTTGGTTGAACACACCACAAACACGACTGTCGTCGGAGACCTTCTTAGTATGAGTTTCTTCATTCTGTAAATCAACAACCACCTGCGAATTCTGCACATCAATCGTCGGCACCTCTGCAACGGGCCAGTTAGGCTGTGGGGGTGGAGCATAGTAGTACTCAACCAGTTGCTGCCCTAAGCAAGATTGAGGCACATATGCTGGTAGGCTGCAGGTACCAAACATGTCGATATGGTCCATGGACACAGGGAGGCCAGCAGCAGGAGACCAAGCTTCAGCAGTTGCTGGTTCTTGAACGGCCCAGCCGTTCGGCAGCTGAAACTCGCAAGGTCGTCCTCCCCACGCTGCATCCTGGTTGTCCATGATCCAATAATTGGCCTTCCGAAAGTAACTGCTGCGAGTAGTGTAAATGAGGACACGAAATGAATACAGTGAAGAAAAAGCTACTACAAATTAACAGGTCAGACAACGACTAGTTTCTAGTTTCTATACACACACACACACACATATGATGGTAGAAATTAATTAAGCACAAATTAAAGCATGCCTAGTGTGAGACTGAAGGGAGAAGAGAATGGAAGACTCTTACATCCGTGCCGAAGAAGCATTACGTACCTTATGGACGCATATTCTCCAATATATAGAGAACATATACATACCTATCAACTGCTCATGTCCACGACCACTACTAGAGAACAGACTTTAGAACGATGTCCCAATTTGACATTAGCCTCGACATTTTTTATCGTCGGGACTAAAGGACCCTTTAGTCCCGGTTCGTAATACCAACCGGGACTAAAGGTCCCTGCCCAACGGTCGTCCGCGTGGCAGGGATCTTTAGTCCCGGTTTGGGTGATACCCCGGAAATAAATATTAATCTTTAGTCCCGGTTTGGCCACCTAACCGGGACTAATTATGCCTGCCTATACACCAGCTCATTTCTTCCTCTCCGAGCCCGAGCCATTCCATTCAAACTCACTGCCTCTGTTCTTTAGCTTGCTGTTGTTCTTGCTCTCTCCCCCTCCATTGGTGTTGCTCTTCGATTTTTGAGGCAACAAACTTAATCCTCTTATGTTTTATTAGTAGCTTATCTCATTTTGCGATGTAGATGCATGTGTAACTTTATATGTTGGACTTTATTATGATTTTATATGTCATTTTTAGCTCAAAATCACATGATGATTTGCATATATGTTTGGATAAACAAAAGTTAAATTAGTTCATCAAAATCACGCCTCGCTCGTCCTCGCTGGAGCACGCGCCATCCTCGTCCCCGACGGCTTACGTGATCTTAGAATTAATTTTTTCATGAAATGAAAAACTTAGAAAATAGTTAGAAAATTATAGAAAATCCGTACTAGTTGAACTTGCGGACCGTGATCATCTCGGCGAGCATTTTCTCTGCCGAGCGGTAACGGACGTCAAGGAGGAGCTTTGATTCTACGAGGGAGAGCGGCAACGGTCGTGGAAGACCGTGTTTTCTTCCTCGTAGAATCGGAGCTCTTCCTTAGCCAAGTACGGTGCCGTCCGGTGGAGAAATGCTCGCCGAGATGATCACATAAGCAAGGTCAACTAGTACGGATGGTTATTTATTGAAACATGTTTTTGAGCTATGTGATTTCTATGTCATTTTTAGCTCAAAATCACATGATGATTTAAAATAGTAAAATCACTTGATAGTTTGGTATTTTACTATTATACATAGTATATATTTCATGGTTTAGTTAGATAAATAAATAATTTTAGTTTTGTTTAAATATATTATTTTAGAAAATGTGAAATTTACAGTAGTTTGCAAAAATAAGTATAGAAAGTAGATGACAACTGGTACCGGATCCTCGGCCTCTTGTTCGGTTGCGAAACGACTGAGGCCAGAACTCCCTCTCATTATCTGCGGCAAGTGTAAGCAGAAGATTGTGATGGAGTATCGAGTCAAGAGACAGGGACCCAACAAGGGTCGTGTTTTCTACAAGTGCCCGGATCGCGATGTGAGTTTCTTACGCATTTGATTATTATAGCTAATTGACCTGCTTTTCTTGAATATTTTTGACTAAATATTTTTTGGCTTTAATTTCAGGGGGAGGGCAATGGATGCGATGGTTGGTACTGGGAGGAAGATTATGCTACATACGTGCAGAATTCGGCTGCTGCTGATGAGGCAGTGAGCTAGCAGGAGAAGCTTATTGATATTCAATAGAAGAATGATTTGTCTGTTTTAGTTGCGTACGATTACGAAATAATTATGTTACTGAAGTGCATTGTAGTTTTAGTTTGTTTAGTGATAGTTGGGATTGCCTACGTTGTAGCCAGGCTTAGTTAATTAATCAACTGTGTGTGTGTCATTTATGTTGTGTAATAAAATACTTAATTATGTTCAAGGTTTTCATAATTTATCGTGTAATACAGATTATGTTACGCCATTGGATGTACAACGCCGATCGCCGCTCCCAAGACTTTATTGAGGGCTTGCACTATTTCTTAGGTGTGGCCGAGGCAAATAAGCGGGATGGTTTCATGTGCTGTCCATGTGCCCTATGTAAGAATTTAAAGGAATATTCAAGCTCAATGAGTCTTCATTCATATTTGCTTAAGTCAGGTTTCATGTCAAACTATATATGTTGGACTAAGCATGGAGAAAGCGGGGTCATGATGGAAGAAGGTGAAGGAGAAGATTTAGACATTGATGACATTATTGCTCAGTATGGTGCCTTTCATGATACTACAATGGAAGGAGATGAAGAAGAGGTAGCGGTAGAAGATGATCTCGGTGATGCTCTTGGCGATGCCATTCGTGATTCACAACAAGAATGGAAAAGTGAAAAAGAGAAAGTTAAGTTCGAGTGCATGCTTGAGGATCATAGGAAGTTGCTATACCCGACAGCCGAAGAGGGGCAAAAAAGTTGGGTACAACACTGGAATTGCTACAGTGAAAGGCAAAGAATGGTGTATCCGACAAGGCATTTGGGAATTTATTAAACCTCATAAAGAAGATGCTTCTGAAGCCAAATGAATTGCCCACCACTACGTATGAAGCAAAAAAGGTTGTCTGCCCTTTGGGATTAAAAATCCAGAAGATACATGCATGTCCTAATGACTGCATCCTCTACCATGGCAATGAATACGAGAATTTGGATGAATGCCCGGTATGTAAAGCATCGGGGTATAAGATCAGGTGCGATGATCCTGGTGACGTCGAGGGTGAACAACGTCTTAGAAAGAAAATCCCTACCAAGGTTATGTGGTATGCTCCTATAATACAACGCTTAAAACGTTTGTTCAGAAATAAAGACCATGCAAAGTTGTTGCGGTGGTATAAAGAAGACCGTAAGGTAGACAATATGCTGAGACACCCAGCTGATGGGTCCCAGTGGAGAGCCATAGACAGGGAATTTCCAGAGTTTGCAAATGAGGCTAGAAACTTAAGGTTCGCCTTAAGTACAAATGGTATGAATCCTTTTGGAGAGCAGAGCACTAGTCATAGCACTTGGCCAGATACTCTATGTATCTACAACCTTCCTCCATGGTTATGCATGAAGCGGAAGTTCATTATGATGCCGATCCTCATCCAAGGTCCGAGGCAACCTGGCAACGATATTGATGTCTATCTGAAGCCATTAGTTGAAGAACTTCTAGTTTTATAGAACAAACCAGGTGTACGTGTCTGGGATGAGTACAAACAAGAACACTTTGACCTACGAGCAATGTTGTTCGTAACAATCAATGATTGGCCTACTTTAAGTAATCTTTCAGGTCAGACAAACAAAGGATATAATGCATGCACACATTGTTTTGATGACCTTGACAGTATATATTTGAAATGATGTCGAAAGGTCGTGTACCTTGGCCATCGTCGATTCCTTCCTTTGAATCACCAAGTAAGAAAGAAAGGGAAGCATTTTAAAGGTAAGCCAGACCACCGGAAGAAGCCTCATAACCGAACCGGGGAAGATATACTCGCAATGGTCAAGGATGTGAAAGTAGTATTTGGAAAGGGACAAGGCAGTGAATCTGTTCCCAAAGATGCTAAGGGACACGCACCCATGTGGAAGAAGAAGTCCATCTTTTGGGAGCTACCCTATTGGCAAGTCCTAGAGGTCCGCAACGCAATCGACGTGATGCACCTGACAAAGAATCTTTGTGTGAACCTGTTAGGATTCATGGGTGTGTACGGGAAGTCAAAGGATTCACTTGAAGCACGCTAGGACTTGCAAGGCATGAAAGAACAAGACAACCTTCATCCAGAGAAGATAGATGATGGACATCATTACTTAAGTCCTGCTAGCTACACGCTTAGCAAAGAAGAGAGGGACAGCATGTTCGAATGTTTAAGCAGCATCAAGGTCCCATCGGGATTCTCCTCCAATATAAAGGGTATAATAAATGTGCCAGATAAGAAATTCCTAAACTTAAAGTCCCACGACTGCCACGTGCTTATGACGCAATTGCTTCTAGTTGCTTTAAGAGGAATTCTACCTCCACATGTACGTCTAGCCACCGTGAAGCTATGTGCATTCCTCAATGCAATTTCTCAGAAGGCAATCAATCCAGTGGAACTAGCTACTCTATAGAATGATGTGGTTCAATGTCTTGTCAGCTTTGAGTTGGTGTTCCCTCCATCCTTCTTTAATATCATGACACACATCCTAGTTCATTTGGTGAAGGAGATTAGTGTTCTTGGACATGTGTTCTTACATAACATGTTCCCCTTCGAGAGGTTTATGGGAGTCTTGAAGAAATATGTAAAAGTCCGTTCTAAGCCTGAAGGAAGCATCGCCCAGGGCTATGGAATAGAGGAGGTCATTGAGTTCTGTGTTGACTTTATTCCTAACCTTGCCCTGATTGGCGTTCCCGAATCACGACACGAGGGGAGACTCAGTGGTAAAGGAACTTTAGGGAAGAAAACATATATCGGCATGGAAGACGATTATTTCAATAAAGCACACTACATAGTTCTTCTGAACTCGTCATTGGTGCATCCATACATCGAGATACATAAGGAGTTCTTACGATCCAAGTTTCTAGGGAAGACTGAAGCTTGGATTAGGCGTCAGCACATGGAAAGTTTCAGTGGTTGGTTGCGAAAAGAATGTCAAGGCAATGACAATATTGATGAGCAACTGTATTTGTTGGCTAGGCAGCCATCGTGGCATATCCTCACGTACCAAGGGTACGAGATAAATGGGAATACATTTTACACAGTTGCCCAAGATAAAAGAAGCACCAATCAAAATAGTGGTGTTCGCATAGATGGCACATATCCAAATGGGAATATACAAACATATTATGGCCGCATAGAAGAGATATGGGAACTAGACTATGCACCTAATTTTAAAGTCTCTTTGTTCCGGTGCCAATGGGTGAAG